GTACTGCACCTCTTCCTGCATGATGTTGGCTTGTAGAAAATAAATAGCCCTGGACTGGACCTACAGGACATCTTATTCGATTCTTTTTTAACTTCTCTCAAAAAGTTGATTGATTATTTGTACTATTGCAGGGAGGTTTTTAGCAGAAGTAACAAAAGAAGTTCTGTCAGATCTTGAAGCCAGCAGATATCAGGTTTTTTAAATCTTTGTTTTGTATTCTGTCTATGCTATGGTCTTGGAAAACTTAAAATGTACTGTTCGACCTTGTAAAACTTAAAATATACTGTTCGCCTGTTACTCTCTCTCTCTCTCTCTCTCTCTCTCTCTCTCTCTCTCTCTCTCTCTGTGCTCATGTGTAATAATGCATTTCTCTTAGATCATTGTATCTTTTTTTTTGTTTTTCCTTCAGATGGCAGAGTACAGGATTTCTGTTTATGGAAGGAAACAAAGTGAGTGGGATCAACTGGCTAGTTGGTTCGTTAACAATTCAATCTATAGTGAGAACGCTGTCTGGTTAATACAGGTATCTAAATATTTGTTACCTTTTTTTTTTCTCTGGTTCCTGTTCAGTTGTGTGAGTAGTCAACTGTCTGTCTGCATTGTTGGGATCCTGTACTCATGATGATGCCTTTCATATTTCACTTGGCTTATATCATTAGATGTGGTGTACTCCCAAGTGTGATTGCAATTTGACTTATCTATATGTGCTCTTTTTGGCATTTGCTCATCAGTACTTAATTTTAACATATGTCATAAGGGTAGAATTGGTGTAAACATGTAAAATGATTTGGTTTGTGGGAGAATTGGACCTATTTAAGAAACTGAAAAATTGTCTTCATCCTGCTGATATGGATCTAAACCATTAAGTTTTTGCTTCCACTCTGCTAGCAAAATGATCATCTGCAAAATTTTATGGACAATTTGATATTGTATTGGACCGTGAATGAACAGTATGCACACATAATTGAAAAAGGTTTGTACTGCATCAATATGATCTGGAGAATGGAGCACGGTAGCTACATATAATGTGTTTATTCATTGTAGCATTTTATGTCACTTTGAGCGTTAGACTGAACATGTATTAGACATATATTGCATAAGGAGGCTCTAGATATTTATGGTAAGATCGTGTTCTTGACTACCGAGAGACAAATACCAACAAGAGTTTATATGGCTCTGTTGCCTATATTTTATGTTGTTGACTATGAATCTGTAGTTTGTTCTTATTAGTAGCTATACTTTATTAGTTCCTCATCCATTGACTTGCATGATTATTGTATTGGGTTTCTCCATGGTATTTCTAAATGTCTAGTTTGCCTGGTAACTTTTTCCTTTAAAGTTAGCTTCATACATCAGCTCATGAGATTTTACCGTTGTTTTCAATTTGCAGCTACCACGGCTATACAATATCTACAAGAAGATGGGAATTGTTACCTCTTTCCAGAATATTTTAGATAATGTGTTCATACCGCTCTTTGAAGCCACCGTCAATCCAAATTCTCATCCTCAACTACATTTGTTCCTGATGCAGGTTGGTCAGTCTTCCAGATATGTAGATGCCTTAGGGATGTTATTTAAAGATGTGCTGGATATTTTGATGTGTGTGATTTTGTGGTGGAGTGAGTTTCACACTCCAAATCCCAGGACAGGACTTAAATGGTGGATTTAGTTGGGTAGAAGACTTTTAAATTACTAAGAAAATATAAGTATTTGCTTTGCTTAACCATGTCTTTACTGAACGAGAGGAATTTTATACAAAATTCAGCAGAGTTGTTAATATTTTGGACAGTCCACAGTTTTACAACCTAATAAACATGTCTAATAGTCATATACATTTAAGGATAAACCTTTCATCCCTTTAATATAATCCACCACCAATTTCGACTTATTGACGTATCTTAATATTAATAGCTTTTCAGTCATTATATTATATGTTTTTAGTTTTAACATGGTTATTTGTTTGAAAACAGGTGGTGGGTTTTGACGTTGTAGATGATGAAAGTAAACCAGAAAGGCGTCCAACTAAACACATGCCAACACCAGCTGAATGGACTAATGAATTCAATCCTGCATACTCTTATTATGCTTATTACTGCTATGCAAACTTGTACACTCTTAATAAGGTTTTCAACACCTGATCCTTGTAAGTATAAAAAGATGGCAAATTATATCTAGGGATATTGAAATTGATTCTACTCTCTTGTTTCCCTTTGTTTCCAGCTGCGTGAATCAAAGGGGCTGCCTACAATAAAATTCCGACCTCACTGTGGGGAGGTGGTTTTCTGCTACCTAAACTCACATATTACTGTTTAATGGTCGTTGTGATCTTAAGGAATTTTATACTCTGCAGGCGGGTGATATTGACCATTTGGCTGCCGGATTCCTTCTATGCCATAATATCTCTCATGGGATCAATCTTCGCAAAACTCCTGTTTTGCAGTACCTGTATTACCTGGCCCAGGTTGGCCCCTTGTGACTTTTGTTTCACTGGCATTTATCCACGTCAATCTGTGTGATCTTATTGTTTAGTGTTAACTAACTATACAATTTTAATCTTGTTAGCTTGTTATTGACCTTGTCCTGCTTCTGATTTTGTGATATCAATACAATTAGTAACTTCCCTTAAAAGCAGGTTGGGTTGCTTATGTCACCTTTGAGCAATAATTCACTTTTCTTGGATTACCATCGCAACCCCTTTCCTATGTTCTTCCAACGTGGTCTAAACGTCTCACTCTCAAGCGATGATCCTTTACAAATCCATTTGACAAAAGAACCGCTTGTGGAAGAATATAGTGTTGCAGCACAGGTTTGTCTACTCATGATTTTTTCTTTATTTACAGTGTTCATGGTTGTGTATCTTATCAAATCAGTATAATTCAGGTATGGAAGCTCAGTGCTTGTGACCTCTGTGAGGTGGCGAGAAATTCTGTCTATCAATCTGGATTTTCACATGTAGCAAAGGTGAGGAAATTTACCTGCAGAAAATTCTGTGTTCGTATGAAATTTAATTGCTCTCTCTCTCTCTCTCTCTCTCATGCATACAATTACTGGGTTTAGTCCATTTTCAGATTTGATGTTGACTATTTGTACCATCCGATTATACCCCCAAGGTCTTTTACGATAATTAGTTATCTTTTTCTCCAAACTGCAGTCGCACTGGCTTGGTAGTAAGTATTTCTTGAGAGGCCCTGAAGGAAATGACATGCAGAAGACAAATGTGCCTCATTTGAGGATTGCCTTTCGACATGAGGCAAGTGTCTATGGTTCCTGTTGAACTTTTTGAAAGGCCCTCCCTCCCCATCTCCCTTCCTCCTCGTTTTCTTGCTGAATGATTGGCTTTTCTTGCAGACTTGGAAGGAGGAGATACAGTACATCTATGCAGGAAAAGCCAAGTTTCCAGTAGAAACAGATCCATGAGGCAAACATACTAAGTGTTGCTTCTTCTTGACAGTCGGGTGCCAATGAACTGGAGGTGTTAAAACAAGGCTGATGGCAGTATTTCCTCTAGAGCTTGTTCTGCCAAATTTGAATAGAATTTGGTGCTATTAATTTATTAAATATAAAAGTATCAACGAGCCACAACGGCTTCAACCAAGGCAGTTCAGCACAGCATTGAGGGAAGACACATGGCTAGTTTTGATCCAATTTTGTTGGAGTTCATAGGCTTTGGGTTTCTACAGGTCTCTGACTCACTAGAAAGTTGGAAGCCATCCTAATTTCTTTTTTTTTTTTTTTTTGGGTTATAAGTATACTTGGTATGAAAAATGGAGGTTTATAACGAGACCTTTACACTATTAGCATTCTTCCTTTAGCTTCTCACTATGAAAATAGCCTCCGATTAGAGTTGATGTGTTATCACAATTTTTATGTTGCGTGACTATGAATTTAGATAACCACCAGCTTTTTTACTTGTGACCGACGAATGACCCATACAAAATGTGCCTTCACGACCCAGTATATTACCATGGAATTTTGAAAATTGAAGAGAAATAGGATAGATGAGAGAGGTGAGGAAAACTGAACTGAATGGAGATGAGAAAACGCTTTGTATTTTAGTCATGAAGGTTGCATTGCACCCCTCGCCTGTTGAATTTGAGGCCTTTGTCTGTTTTCTCTTCATGTACGTGCTAAAGCAATCAAAGACTTAAAGAGTCACGAGTTCACCGTTTAAGCAGTTTTACAATCGTGGTCGGTTCATGGGACGCAATCCTACTAATGTTGTAACTTCAAGTTTCATTTTTAATTTTCTGGGTCTGATCTGATCTCAAAGACTCCCAAGTTCCAACCAATAAAATAGAAAATAAAACAGTAGTTTTCCGTATTCAAATTGTTGGGTTATTTGTTTGAAATGGGCCAGTAAATGCACAACCCATTATCATGAATCCAACCCATTATCACTATCCACAGAAGACAAGACCTGTGACTTGTGTTGTGCCCCTACACACTCACCTTAAAATCTCCTATTAATATTTGCAACAAGAATTTCCAAACCCCAAAAGGCCCCAACCCCCCCTCACACGTCTACAGCTCCCTCCTCTCTCTCTCTCTCT